AATTACTGGGTCACCCGCCCTATAGCCCCGACCTCACACCTTGCGATTTTTATTTATTTCCGAAAATAAAAGAAAAACTTCGAGGAAAACGTTTTATGTATGCCGACGAAGCAGTAGCTGCGTTTCAAAATGCCGTCGAAGGGACCCCTAAGGACGAGTGGGCAAAGTGCTTTTCTCAGTGGTTCCATCGGATGCAGCGATGTATTGATGAAAATGGACACTATCTTGTTAAAATATAGGTAATAGAACTAATAACTTGCTAGTTTGTTCAGTTTTTAATTTTCTAGAAACTTTCAGTGTCACCCTCGTAGCAGCTGTCTCTTTAACGTTATTCATATTAAGGGTGCGGGCGACACAAGGCGACTGAGCTCTTCGCGAAGTAACTTCGCGAGTAGAAGTGAAGGTAGGCGTGGTCAGTTACGACATTGGGACGTCGAAAACCTCGGTCACCCCCGTGACCACAGGTGCTGTAAAGTATGTGAAACGTCGGGAATATACAATAAGTTATTTATATTCGCGATAAAATCCGCAAAAACAAGTTTCATTTAAATGTGTAGTGTTCACGTAAACATAAGTAATTATTGTGAGAACTTATTTTATTCATATAGGATTGCCGTGGTCGATAGATATCTACAGCGATTAAGAAATAATAATATGCAGGTGCTTTGTTGACCTTGGGTTTGACCAAAGGGGTGGAGACTGGGCGAGTTTGGTTGTAGGATGGTAGAAAGAGCAATTCCTGCACACATGTATCTTAATAGCTTATTACATTTACCACATAATTTCGAGCACAGACCTAAAGTAGTAGATAGTCTTTTCGTGTTCTGATCAAAAGACGTTCGGTAAATGTAAAATCTTGATGAGACGTTTGAATGTTTCTTTAGTTTTGTGATTTTAAGAATCGCTTTAAAATTATTTTCTTAACTCATTTGTCTTACCGAAACCAGTTTTTATCGCAGAATCTTAGATTTTAATGAAAAATTAGATATAAATTACCGGAGGCTAATTTTCCATCCGGTACACATACGAGGGTGGATTGAAAAGTACTCGGCCTAACACAGATCCATTCAATTCTAAAAATCAAATCTACCCACATTATTTAGTTCAGTTCAGACTAGTTCATTGTGTGAAGTTCGAAACGTGTGCGATAATTAGTTGTGATTTTATAAATTTATTAACAAAGTAATCGGACATAATTTCCGCGAATGGAGCAAATCGAGCAGCGTGCCGTCATTAAGTACCTCCATAAGAAGGGGCTATCATCAAAAGCCATCCATGATGACATGGTCAGTACATTAAGCGATTGTGCTCTGTCATATTCATCCGTCAAAAAATGGATAGCAGAATTTAAGCGTGGTAGAGAGAGTGTGAAAGATGAACCCCGCTCTGGAAGGCCTTCGACGTCAACTACTGACGAAAATATTAAAAAGTACTTGATTTAATAATGGGAGACCGCAGATTAAAAATTAGAGAGATAGCCGAGATTATAGGCATCTCTTATGAATGAACTCAAAACATCATTGTCAACGAGTTGGGTTTCCACAAGGTGTCTGCGAGGTGGGTTCCGCGACTGCTTTCAGTTGAACAAAAAAGGACGCGATTGACTATTTCACGCGACTGTTTGGAGTTATTTGAAGCCGATGCAGATGATTTTTTGAATCGTTTTGTTACTATGGACGAAACATGGGTTCATTACTGTACACCGGAAACAAAACAACAATCAAAACAGTGGAGAAGACCTGGTTCACCATCCCCTAAAAAGGCTAAGTCGATTTTGTCGGCAAATAAGGTGATGGCTTCAGTATTCTGGGACTCGAAAGGTGTGATTATGATTGATTATCTTGAAAGGGGTCAGAATATAAACTCTGATTACTACTGCACCTTACTACGTCGTTTACGAGAGGAAATAAAAGAAAAACGTCGAGGAATGCTCAGAAGAAAAGTCCTGTTTCATCAAGATAACGCCCGTGTTCACACGTCAGTACAGTCAATGGCTGAAATTCACAACTGTGGCTTTGAACTGTTACCGTATCCGCCGTATTCACCTGATCTGGCACCATCAGACTTCTTTCTGTTCCCTAACCTAAAAAAGCACTTGGGAGGTCAAAGATTTTCGACAAACGACGAGGTCAAAGCAGCTGTAGACGCATATTTTGACTCTAAGGAAGAATCATTTTTCTTCAACGGTCTAAATGCTTGGAAGGGGAGGTGGCAAAAGTGTATTGAACTTGATGGTGATTATGTAGAAAAATAAAAATATAACTGATTTAGTATATGTTTATTTTCTTGGTTAGGCCGAGTACTTTTCAATCCACCCTCGTAACTAAGCGCGGCGGACTATTTGCTGCATACCCATAACCATCTCCCTCTCATAATGAGAGGGCTGTATACTGTTGTTGGATGTGTAGAGGCAATATCTTTAATTATTAATTAGCCGTTCCCCGCGACTTCGTCCGTATGGAATTTATTACATATACGATTGGATTTCATGGGTATTCATTTTTTGCGCGAAGCCCTAATTCTTTTTCTAAAATAAAAGTAGCCTAAGTTGCTCTTTATAACATCAGCTATCTGCCATTGAATGTCCCGTCAAAGTAGGTCCAATCATTTCGCAGATTAGCCGGAACAAATAGACAGACAGGCAATATTTTTATATCCCGTTTTTTTGTTGTAAGTAAAAAGCTGTTATTTTGATTACAAACAGACACTTTAATTTTATAATTTGTGTAGTATATAATGGTAGAGCCATGCTGCAACTATATTATAATTGCAGCACGAATGGGTCGGCTCGATCGGGGAAGGACGACGCTCTTATAGAATATCAGCTTAACGCTGCTGTGTTTAGTTAGTGTGTTTGATTAGTGTATATAGAACCGGAGACCCCTTTTACTGGAAACGAGACATTCCATCCTTAGGGGTGGCAACGCATCTGTATTTTGATTCGTAGAAGAGGGTAGATGTACATGACTATGGGCCACAGCAACTACTTACTATCAGGTGGACTGTGTGCTCGTTTGTCACCCTTATCCTATAAAAAAATAGTGAAAGATAAGTTTTATATTTATCCTAGATTCAGCAAAACGAATTGTTTTCATTATATTTTACACCTTTGTTACCTTATACTCGTACATTATACGAGTTACACAATCCAAAGTTTTGAAAGGCTCCCACTGACCTTCACGGTCCTTTCATTTTTAGCGCGTCTAAAGTGATTAATTTTGTAAAATTACTATGATATTCTTGTTTCCTTATTTTATTTACTATATTCGGGAAAATAAAACAAAAAATGTCTTACAGTTATATATTATATTTTAAAATATCTCTTATTAAATATTTATTTAGGTAAAACATAATATTAATGCTTAAGGACATCTGTTGCACAGATCATCAATAATTTCAAAAATATTGAATAAAAATAAGTATACCTACTGATTTTAATGATGTGCGTAAAATAATGTTATCTATCAATAATATTATCACATGAAGAACATTCTACTGCTAATTTAATCAATAATATTTATGCAAATCTGTGCACATATAAGGTATAGCATAGTAGTTCCTAAAAGTAAATAATTGAAGTAAAAATATGATCATGACATTATACATGCTCCAAAAAATGCCAAAGTAACCCAAGCAAATAAAATTGACTAGCGACTCGCTCAGGAATAAAATTTGCAGTTTTGCAATACATTCACAATTAAGTAATTATGAATTATTATTGCACATGTACCGACGGAATAATGGGTATCATTTATATATTAAATTATACATTTAATAATAGTACAGGCGTTGTTATTTACAGGATAAGGAACCTAATAAAATGGTTAGAACCACGTTATATATTGTATAATAAATAAATGTTTATGCATAAGCTAATACAATTGTTAAGCTGGATAACAATTAAAAATAATATAGAGATAAAATATTTAACCAGTGCTGTCTTATCATACATATTTCCTTGTTTTCACTTATAAATGTGGCATAGATAGCCAGATTTAATGTCATTTATTTTCTGTTTCAATTATAAATGTGATAAATTTATAAAACTTGGGGATCAATATTGGAACATTTTTAAATCAAACTTTTTTCTGACATGAAAGCAGTAACACAATTTAATCAAGTAATATTGTACTTATTTATATTAAACAACACTAATTTTAATTAACTAAAAGTGTTACAATTTGTATATAGGTAAGTAATATATTTACAGAGCTTAGCCAAGCTACAATCATATTACAAAAATAGTTATTCAATCTTATATTACATGTGATAAAAATTTTAAACAAGACTAATAAATGGTACAATATGCTCACAGCATCAAGTAATAAAATAACTTTAAATACAATAAAATAGTAAAATGTTTATATTTGTAATTTATCAAAGAAAATACTGTTTTTCTTTGTCTACTATTTCAAATAAAAAAAGGATATTTAAATATAAAATTCAATTAAAATTAACTTGTCAATCTCTTTGCATCATAGTCAAAGTGAGTACCATGATTTTTGACACTGTACATTCCTATTAAAATCGAATTGAGAAAAGAAATGCTATGGAATGTGCAATAATAAAATTTCAAAGCTTTTATTAAGTGGAATGTTTAAAATGTTATGTTTTTGTTTACAATGTTAATAAAAAAAATTGTATTCACAACTCTCATTAAAATATTTATGTTGTTTAAAACAATACCTACTTAGTGTAAAAATGAAAGTTTCATTATGTAAATGGTGTTGAACAGATTTACCATTCTAAGAACATCCAAAAGTCAAACATTCAACAATAAGTATTTGTGACCAGCATTGCAAAAACATGAATTTTCATTATAAATGGTTGGAAAAATATAACAGATTTCTGAAATTTTAATTAAATACATAAAACAAGTACAGAAAAATCTGCACTTGTTTTATGTATAATGTCTTTTAATAAAGTAATGGTAAAAAATTAAAATGATTTATCAAATCTACATAATTTATAGAGATCTTGCACATTAAAGTATTTAGTAATTACTCTACAGTAACAGACTTAGCTAAGTTTCGTGGGCAGTCAACATTGCATCCACGAAGCACAGCTATATGAAAGGCTAGCAACTGCATAGGGATGACAGTTAGAACACCTTGTAAACAATCTACAGTTTTTGGTACTTCTAGACATCGTGACGCCAGAGCCATTGTTTCAGTATCACCTTCTTCACACACGACAATTGGTTGACCTTGCCGTGCTGTCACTTGCTGCAATGCATTCATGCACTTGGTGTAAACTGGGTCACGCATCACTATCATCATAACAGGCATAGAGTCATCGATTAGGGCTAGAGGTCCATGTTTTAATTCTCCTGCCATTATTCCTTCACTGTGCATATATGTTAATTCTTTTACTTTCAAAGCACCTTCCAAACATGTCGCAAAATTGTACCCACGACCCATAATGAGCAAAGAACGCTGACGATAAAGGTCTTCTGCTAAAGCTTTAACTTTGTCATCTAGAGATAATACCTGCTTAATTTTAGTATCCAATTCGTTTAATCCAGCAATAATATCGGCTCGCCGTTTTTGCAAAGAGATGCGGTCTTCACTGATCACTAGGGCGAACATAACCAGTGACACAAATTGTGACGTATATGCTTTTGTGGATGCTACACCAATTTCTGGTCCAGCATTAATATGAACACCACAGTGTGATTCACGACATATAGAACTGCCCACAGTGTTTGTTATACCAACAATAAGAGCACCATGACGTTTACAATAACGCAGAGCCATCAATGTATCAGCAGTCTCACCTGACTGTGAGATGAAGAAACAGACGTCATCTCTGAAGACTGGTGTATTTCTGTCTAGAAAATCAGAGGCTAATTCAACCATAACAGGCAGTTCGGTCAACTCTTCCAAAAGTTGACGTGTGGCTACTGCACTGTGGTAACTTGTTCCACATCCAATCAGCATTAACCTTCTGCACCGTTTAATCTCAGGAATATAATCTTTTATCCCTCCAAGGGTAACTGTGCCATCAGCAAAATTAAGACGTCCTCTCATAGTATTCACTATAGATTCAGATTGCTCAAATATTTCCTTTTGCATAAAATACTCATAGTTGCCTTTCATAATTTGTTGTAGCTCCAGTTTAAGAGTTAATATCTCACGTTCGTGTGGATCACTGCTGCTGCCTGACATACGGTGAATGCTGAGAACACCATCTTTAATATGAGCAACATCATCATCTTCAAAATAAAGCACTCTGTTTGTGTGTTCAATTACAGCAGATGCATCAGAGGCAAAGAAATACTCAACATCTCTTTCTTCTTCAGGCTGAAAATGAGCATGGCTGTTGACACGGGGCACAGTAGGTACCACGCCTCGTGTAGCTTTATTATTTGTGTACATAATAGGTACATGATCACTTGAAAGACGGCGCCTTGTCTTAATTCCAACAAGTAAAGGACTACCACGTCGGGTAGCTACACATTCATTTGGAAAATAGCGAGATTTGAAACACAAAGCAAAAGCACCTTCCAGTTGTTGGATTACCTGCTCAACTAATTCCTGGAAGTTATACCCTTTGTGTTGGTTGTAGATGTGATGTATTAACTTAGCAATTGCCTCTGTATCCGTTTGGGATTCAAAGATATAGCCCTTGTTTTCAAGGAAAGTTTTAACTGCTTTGTAGTTGGTGATGATTCCATTATGAATAACAACAAAGGCATTGTCTTCTCCAGAGCGCTGCGGATGAGAATTGATGGCACTTGGCTCTCCATGTGTAGCCCAACGTGTGTGGGCAATACCACAGTGAGAATCTACACTCTCATCTACTGCCAGTTCAACACTGCGTTCCTGTAGTAATTCTTCCAGTGCCGCTACTTTCCCGCTTTTTTTTACAACCGCTATATCTTTTTCATCAGCAGCATCGACGGCTACACCCGCCGAATCATACCCACGGTATTCTAAGCGTTTAAGACCGTTAACAAGCAATTCTAATATCTCTCTTCGGGTTTTAGGCGTAAGGTGATTAATATATGCGAAAATTCCACACATCGTTAATAAAGTAGAGCGAATACGTAGCGCGCGAGTACTCGAGTGCAACCAACGACAGACTGCGAGTTACACAAAGTTTACCGAGTGATATTGAAGGCCTCTGAATAACTAACTACTCCTACCACTAACAAGTTACTTTCACTTACGGCCAAGCACACGTCATCATGTTTCGTTATCACAGATACAGCCTAGTAGAGTTAATAGCAGCATGGAGCGGCAAATCCAGTCTTAAATTCACTCGATGTAATGAAAACTGACATTCTCCCACTGCTGTACTCGTTAGGTGTCAAAAATCAAAATTATAGTTGTGGCATATGTCAAATTGACAGTTATCATTACATTCATTTGCTTTACGACAAAGGCATAGATAATGCTCATACAGTCTAGCTTGACGTGATTTGGTTCACAAATTTTTTTATAGAGTCTCTGCTCCATTTGTGCCGTAACGCACTAATTACTGCGATAACTAAACTATAAGGTAGATGTAGTCAATATTTTAATGCGTTAATTGAATATGGCATTATTAATGGCGTTAGATGTTAAACGCTAACTGCCTACGAAGAAGCGATTTCAGACCTGTCAGATTAAGACTGGCAAAAGTGTTGTATTTAGAGCTGGTTTAGGCGAAAGGAACTTTGTATAGAGCATGATGGAGAATATTAAGAAAAAATTTAAAATAAATATTAATAGTATATGGACTTCTGAAATGGGGCAACTGTTCTGAAATAGAACGCGTATTTAGAATCCAAAAAAAATGCATTCGAGCAATCTGTGGAGCACATTCCATGGCATCGTGCAAGCCATTATTTAAAGAAATAAAAGTGTTACCACTCGCATGTATGTATATCAAACAAGCTGCGACTTTTGTCAAGCAATTCCCTGAATACTTCCCAACTAATATTTTTTAAGAGACAGAAGTTTAAGAGAAAAATCTAAGAACAGAATATACCTTCCGAAATGTAAATTGATGTTTTTTGAAAAAAATTCGTACATAATGGCGATTAAAATCTTTAATTCATTACCCGACGAGTTTAAAAATTTCCCAATGACAAAGTTAAAAAACAAACTTCACGAATGGCTCTTACTTAAATGTTTTTATAACGTTAATGAGTATTTTGATCATAAAAATCAAAACAAATTACGTATTTAATATCCGTATCTAAATTGCTTGAATTTTTTGCTGTAAGTTAATAAAATAAGACTTCGATAGAATTATTATTGGTTGGTTGATTTTACTGTTTTTACATGTTAACATTTGTATTTTGACATTTTTGTAAATGATTGTGTGATATTGTACTTCGTAATTATTCTTTTGACATTTATTTTATTATTCATTGGACATTTTTTATTAGTACTATTAGGACATAATTATATTAGACTAAAATTCATCAATAATTATTGTAAAGAAAATGTATTGCAACTTATAACTATTCAGTTAAAATTTGCACGCCTTGATAAGGCAGAATGTATCGGAACTTTATGCTTTAATAATACTTTTGTAACATCTACCTACATTCTAAGCAAATAAATAATTATGAATTATGAAAAAAAAATACATTTTATATATCTTAAAACTTATTGAGTGTCCTACGTATACGAAAATTCAGCTTTTTATCTCTCATTCCGAGTTTCACCCCTTTATTATGCTAAAGTGACTGGACTCTTAGTTATCGTGTAAAAGAGTTGTATCTATTTAGTGTAATTAATATGTATATTATAGAAAATACATTCATTAACAATTTTGAATACATAATAATGAAAAAACCAGCGAATAATTTACTGAAATTATTAATGAATATTATATTTTACCATGTCCTTGTCCATGTTTTTCTTTCCAATGTTTACTTAAATCATACGTCAAATTTAGACTTCTTTCCACTCTCATAACAAAGATGGTGAAAAATCAAGAGGGTTATATTAAAGTAAAACAGTAATAAATGAAAAAAATAATTACAAAATAAAAAATAAATAAAAAGTATTTATTTGCCACAAAACAACACATTGTTAAAATTTAAATAGACAGCTTAATAATGAATTATGATAAAACGGTCTGTGACTCAATTGTAATGGGAAACCCATTACTCCCGCTACTCTGCCACAGCCTTTGCGCAGTATCCATACAGGATCTTAGGCAAGCGATGAAACACTCGTATTAGCAATAAATAAATAAAAATTTAAACAATAAATAAATTATAGTTACTGAAATACGACAAAATATAAAAATATTCACTAATTTGACGGGATATCAGAGCCACACAGAGCCATTTTGTCGGAAGGTATACGGAGATAGGGTAGACCAGTCCGGTCTACCTTATCTCCGTTTACCTTTCGACAAAAGTGGTGGCAAATCGTTCCAGATTTTAGCAGCGGCGAATTTAAAACACCCCCCGGCTCCAGCGAGTTTAATTCTGGGTAGTGGAAGCCGATGACATTTTTCTCTGACCGAGAGCAAACTTTTTCTTCAACAGCTATCTTATCGTACAAATATCTTGGAGACGCTGCGCGATACAGTTTATGCAGAAAGCAAGCATTTTTTATCTTGGTACAATTGGACATATTTTAAATGCCATTACTGACTAAATAAGGTGAAATCCTATGCCTTTTCGGTAAATTAAAACAAAAACGCATGCATGCGTTCTGCACTCTCTGTGTATTCTTCGCAGTTTTTTTTTAAATAAGCAAGGACCATAAACAATATCACAATAATGAAGGTGGAACAGTACTAAACTGTTACGGAGCTATAATCTAATGTCACGTTTTAGAAATTTGTGAATTTTATACAATTTTTTTTAAAAAACCATAGCATTTGCCGATTTTTGTGTTTAAGATCTTAACATCAGGCTTCCTTTCATTAATCATTTTTACCTGGTGCTTTGTTTCAAGTGTAATGGTAACAATCTTTGAGGGATTGAGTACCAGACTATGTCTCAAAGACCACTTCAAAATAAAATCTATACTCAACCAAATCTAAGAAATACGTTTTGACAGCTTTCAGACTTATTGGACTAGGCATGACAACCAAAAAAATAGGTACATAGAATACTTATTCGATTCTTTAGAAAAATCGATATCAATTCTTTAGAGTTGGTAATCATTTACAGTTTTGTTTTGATCAATACCAGAATAAATTAGAAGCGGATAATTTAAGGTGAAACATACGGTATACTCTTGGCCGTGTTCCCGCGAGATGGCGCTGAAGTCATCATTTTTAGTTTATTTGGGATTTTGGTTAATTGGAACATTATTAAGTCGTAGAAGTAGCTCCCGCGGTACGCGGACGTTATGTTCTAGGTGAAATCCTATGCCTTTTCGGTAAATTAAAACAAAAACGCATGCATGCGTTCTGCACTCTCTGTACATTCTTCGCAGTTTTTTTTTTAAATAAGCAAGGATCATAAACAATATCACAATAATGAAGGTGGCACAGTACTAAACTGTTACGAAGCAGCAGTCTAATGTCACGTTTTAGAAATTTGTGAATTTTATACAAATTTTTTAAAGAACCATATCATTTGCCGATTTTTGTCTGAACATGTTGCTCAAATTTTAAATTCTCATCCATGAGGAGACCTAAATTGCGAACACAACCCTCGTAAGGTATGACGGTGTTAAAGATCTTAACATCAGGCTTCCGTTCATTAATCATTTTTACCTGGTGCTTTGTTTCAAGTGTAATGGTAATACTCTTTGAGTGGTTGAGTACCAGACCATGTCCAAAGACCACTCCGAAATAAAATATCGGACTCAGCTGAATACCAGTATTTTACGATTATGTTATAAAAATAAAAGTAATATTTGTAGGCGTAAAATATTTTAATTAAATAATAATTTTGGGAAATAAAAGAAACTCAAAACTGATAACACAGAATATTTGCAACATAACCAATTATTACAAAAATTTTGACATGACATAACACGAAAGAAACTATTCATAAACAAGAGATAACCATAAATCTAAAACACAATTTAGTATGCGATAATAACCAGGAAGGTGAAAAAATATTACCTAATTTCAAAGCACTCAAATTTTATTGTTGCCGGCAGGGATCGAACTCGGGTTGCTCCCGTACTGTGAAATTTACAACGAACGCTAACCGCCTTAGCTACCACTGCTCGTATGCATGTTTACCAATTTTTAAACATTATACTTACATTTATTTCTATTCTAATTTTTTAAATAATATTATGTTATTGATAAATATATTATTAATAAATAAATAATTAGTGCCGTGTAGTGGCGGTTAAGAATATCCACTACCCCATATCTTCCCGTGGGTGTCGTAAAAGGCGACAAAGGGAAACGGTCAGGAGATGGGCAGCAGCATCTTCCTGGTAACGGCAAAAATACAATAAAAAACTGCGGTTGCCAACCCGCTCGCCAAGCGTGGCAACTATGGCAATATACTCCCCATGATGAAAGTTACGAAGAGACGGCCCCCAGTCCCCGGCGGCCCCGCTATTCCTGGCTACGGTGGCGACCATGGTAACGGCGGGGCAGGGGGTGCTCAGAATCTCCGGTGGAGGTTCGGTTGCCACCTACGACGACTCGACCTGGCAACATACAACGCACGCACCCTGAGGACTGACGAGAAGATTGTGGAGCTGGAAGAAGAGATAGACAAGTTACGCTGGCATATTATAGGATTATCCGAAGTCCGAAGAGAGGGGGAGGACACGGTAATCCTCGAATCCGGCAACTTGCTCTATTACCGGGAGGGCGACCATCTGTCCCAAGGAGGTGTCGGATTTATCGTCCACAAGTCTCTCGTTAACAACGTTGTAAAGATTGAGAGTGTGTCGACGAGAGTTGCGTACCTTATACTCAGAATCACCAAACGGTATTCGCTGAAGGTCATACAGGTTTACGCGCCAACCTCGGCACACCCCGATCAGGAGGTGGAGGAAATGTATGAGGATATCTCTAGAGCAATGCATTCCTCCAAAACCCAATATACGGTGTTAATGGGAGACTTCAATGCAAAACTAGGCACAAGAGAGAA